AGAAAAATGACAATAATAAATATTTAATTCAAAAATGAATTGTCCATTGAGACTCGAATAGAAAAATGACAATAATAAATATTTAATTCAAAAATTAATTCTCGATTGAGACTCAAATAGAAAAATGACAATAATAAATATTTAATTCAAAAATGAATTGTCCATTGAGACTCGAATAGAAAAATGACAATAATAAACCAGAAAAGCGCAAAAAAGTGTCCCATTAATGAGATATAATCCAGACTGCGCGAATGGTGGAATGAAATGACGCAATTAATTAGTGGAATTAGTAGTTGGTGGTTTGGCCAGTGCGGGGGCTATGGAGGTGAACGAGTCCTTCATGGTTGTAGGGATCCTTGGAGCGTAAATAAAGTGGATAGAGAAAGAGACAGGTAGGATCTCTATGGCTGTGCATAATTATCCCCTCGCTAAAATTCACCTTTTCATTCTCAATTTTCGTTGCCACTTCAAAGAACCCGGGAATTCCTCCGCCCATTGCCTTTAATTTGATGACGCCCTTTGCATAGCAATTCCGTTCATGTCGAGATGTGTTGCTTTTCCTTTTTCTTTTTTTTATTCAACTCTTTCCCCTCATTCCTCTCATTTTTTTTTTTTGCATTTCCCTTTGGTACTGTTGTTACGGGAAAACTCGGGGGGAACAATGGGGAAAAACAATGGGGCGGGAAAAACATTGATTTTTCTCCTTTTTTTTTGGCATTCAGATATGTAATGGTCTGATTCGATTGGCACCGGCTGTCAAGCATGCTACGCCGAAATTCCCGGTGGCCTTGTGGGCATGCATCGTGCCAAACCAATGAGTTTTCCTCTGTCCCCCGCGTCAATGATCAAAAGCTTCCCTGATTGGTTACCCTTCCCCCCCGCCCCCTTTGTAAAATCACGATGGAAAATCCCACGGTATTCAATTCCAAACGCGGTTTCACTTCAATCCACATTATCCAACATCACTCGGTACTGAAGTAATGTATTCATTTGGAGTACGTGCACTTGAGAATGCAATTATTTGGAATTATTCGCGATTACGTGGGGCTGGAGAAATTTGGGAAATAACCGTGTGAAGTTCTGGAATGTTTATCGTTGGGTTTTGGATTTGGGTTTTCATGATGGGGAAATTGTAGGAAAATTTGGAGGAAAAAATGGGAATTGGAAGTGAGTAATTGATGATCAGGGTGGATGAATAAATAATTAAGAGAGGAAGCTGTTGGTTTTGGAATTTTAGGGGAACTTGTCAATTGGAGAAAATGAAAAAAAAAAACTAGTGTTACCTGAAGAAAACCGCCGAGACAAGTGGTGGCGTTGGCCAATACTCCAACTTTGAATTTCTTAAATCTCACTCGGAGTATCCAGTCTCTTGGGGTACCCCGGAATGCCTTGAATCGGTACCAACAGGTCAATGGTTTCCCCCAGGTGTCCGGTGTAACTGCTGGACTAGACACATCCTCGTAAATTTCCACTGTTTTGTTGCAGTGATCCCGTTCAGCTGAAAAAATTCATTAAAAATTTTCCACTCTGTTCAAAATATTTTCAACACTTGAATCGGGTCGAGGAAATAGACTCAATAAAATCCTATTCATATCGAGTACAACAATCCATAAATCATTGATTTTTTTTTACCCACGAATTTTACCGAGAGTTAACCAGTTTTAAATCGCTAAAAAATAAAAATCAGATACAAATTGCCTGAAATCCCCGTGGAAAATTCAAAGCCGCGTTCACGTACGTTCGACGTAATAAGATCGACGCGTCTACAGCCCCGGGGAAACGTGACACAGGAAACCGCTTTTCCCCGTGAACACATTTAGAATCGCTTGAGATATATTTTTCTCTCACTGGCTTTGTGAACGAAATATTCTTCAACCCCAGCGTATGTGTATATTCCGTTCGCATTGTCAGATAAAAATAATTTAGGGCTGTGAATATGTAATTTTCGAAGTGGCGGGAGATCTTTCGAAAGAATCCAAAGATAGAAAAGGGTGGGATGATTTTTTCCGCGGGAAATTGCCCCTGGATTTTTTACAGTCCAGATTAAATTCTATGAAAACTGAAAGAAATCATTCTTCCAATTTTATAACAATTTTATTAACAACAATCATTTTTCTATTAATGTCATGAATCAATTGGATTATAATTTTTATGTTGCAGCTCTTATCGGATTGGATTTAGGTAGAAATTGTATCGCGATTGAATAAAAATTGATTAAACTGGCATCAACTGGGAGAACATGAAACCTTCCAGAAACAGCACGGAAAATTACCGAAAAAATATCAACAGCCCTGTGTAAATCGCTCCCTAGGGTTGGAAAACAACAGCCCTGCACGCACAAAACATTCGCACAAACATGTGGCATAAACCCGAAGCCCCGATGAACGATTACTCGTTTTTATCCGGTTACACGACGAGTTAAAGCCATAACCACGATTCCAGCTATACAGGAAAAAGTGTTTTTGTTCCATTGAGGGAGTAATAAAAACAGGGAAATGGAACATTGTAGGTTGCCCTGGATTTCATCTCTGGTGACATGACCCACTCGTCTCGGATGTTGTTTTCCTCATCCCCGATGCATAATGCAAATGGTAAATAGAGAAGACCCGGACACAGCGAAATTTTTATAAAAAAATCTCCAGTTCATCTCCAGGACATAATCAATTGCCAGTAATTCCCGTGAATTACGTAATTTATTATTATTTTTGCAACGTGGTGGATGATTCAGGTAGAAAAAAAAATTAAAAGTAAGTCCATTTGTTCGATCGACCTTTTGAGGAGAATAGCTGTGTACCTGAGCGAGATAGCATAATTTTTAATATTACATTTTTTGTAGGCGAGAATGAGAGCTGCAAAAAAGGTGGTATGATAAATTTCGGTATCTCTCTTAGATTCTGAGATATTTACTTTCCCTGATACTGAATTATTGAAGCGAGAAGTGCACGGAGAATGTCTCACGGAGAATTTTTTCGGATGGATTCCTCATTCTCGGGGATATCTCGGAATCCAAGAGGGCTACAGATATTTTTTATAGGACCTTTTTTATAGAGTGGAGTACGAGGTGGAAAAAAGGTATGAACAAAAATTTCGGTATCTCTATTAGATTCTGAGATATTTACCTTTTCGGTACTGAATTATTCAGGGATCCACTGGGAATTCCCGGAGGAGAGAAAGTTTCAATTTTTAGCCGCTGAATTTTTTGTTTTATAATTACAACGGACTTGTCTCGATAAATTTGATGATGATAAATAAATAAATTGACAGTTGATTTATTTAGGGAGCGCGCCAGGAGAATAATTGAAGTCGGATGATACGCTGACATCTATCACTGTCTTCGGGGTGAAACGCGAGAAACAAGAAGAAAATATTTTAATTAACATCTCATATTTATTCATAAAATCATCCGGAATGGCTTAACGCCTTCAACTTTTGTCTCACGTTTTCCAGGTGGTGGTATCAGTGTGCCATAAGCATCTACCATCACTCCCTAGGGGAAAACTTTCCTCCCGTTATCTCTCTCCAATTTTCCGTACCTCCTATATCGTGTATTGACGCTAGAAGTTGAAAAAAAAAATTGGAAAAGAAATTACGGCACTCGCGCCCTAATTTTCCTTTACACGCCCCTTCCCTGAAAAATTTACCGCCATCACTGAAAAAAAAATTCACGCAATGTTTTTTAAAAGAAAAATTTACATTCAATTTTGATTGTAAAATTCGAGAGTTTTTAGGAGAATGTTGGCACACGAAAAATTGTTTATTTGTTTTATTATTTAGAATATCTCGAATAATACAAAAAATGGTGAAAATCTCGATTTCTCTGGAATTTTTCTGGAATTTTTTCCCTTTTTTCTCTGTACACCACGCACAAGCTATCGCATTCTGGAATCATCCGGGGAGTGGAAAAAACTCGTGAAAAAAAAAATATCCGCTGAACAAATAGAACGAAATGATTGATGCTCAACAGAGGGTTTTTGTTGACGAAAAATACATACCAGTGAAAATATTTTTCAACGCATTGATTTCTAATGATTTATGACACGAGAATAACTATTCACAACTGGAAAATGTCGAGATAAAAAAATTGAGAGAAATTTTGTAAAATGATTTCAGTTTCGTGAAAAATTCTGCATAACAAAATTAATCTGCCATCACCAGAATTTTCCCCCGGCACTTTTTCCTTTTGCAAAATTTTCTCTTTGGCAATGAGAATAAAAATTTACCAGTGAAATATATCCTAAGAGAATAAAAATGACATTTTCATTAAAAAAATTCAGCAATAAATGGATAAATTTGTATAAAAAAACGTGGCATCACCAAAAATTTAATTCAATCTCCCTGAATTGGAAAATCGGATTACTATTAATTTTCCAATGATTATAATCCGTAAATCTAACGCAATAAGATTGAAATCCAATTTTCGGATGGAGTCGAGTGTAAAAAAGTCGAGTCACGAAAGGCAAACGCTATCAGGGATCTGGATAAAAAGAACTCTCGATTCACCGGTCCCACTGTTTGATAGAAATTTATTTTATTTTTTCCATTTCACGAGGTGAAATGTCTAACGATAAGCGCATTGACACACCCGTCACGTGCGCATGAAAATTTTATCGAACGTTTCAGCCCGACGATATGTCCCAGTGATAACACACCACCTCCCCCATTTCATTTTAAAATCCACCAGTATTATTAAATTATTCGTATATTTTTCGTTGCAATGAGCAGCCGGGGACTGGCCGTTAAATTTTCCGAGTTATCGGCAATCCTCAATGGACTATTCGCAGCCCCTCCAGCGCTCATCCGGGACCAAAACCCCATCATCAATTAAAATTCCATATCTCGAATTTATCCAATTGCATAAAAAATTTTTAAATCTGCTAAATTGGAAACAGCAATGGGCACTGGTAAAATTACAACCGATTAAATCGATCGATCGAGGAAATCAGAAAATCATGAGCGTGAGTTGCGATCGATTATATCGTCATTTTATAGCCATTGAGAATCAATTATTTTCGCGTACTTTATTTCGGACACTGAGGCAACAGTTATTTTTACCAAGTAAATTTACTAATTGCCACAGTCCTTGATCAATTATGAATTAAAACCTCATATCGAGTATTTCATACTATTGAATAAAAATTGGAACAATCTGCAGGAATCGTTCAATCATAAATTCAATTGATTTATCGGGGAATATTTCTGATGCCTGAGTTTTATTCAATTAAATCGAAATTTCAGAGCTATTTTCAATCAATTTTCTTGGCACGTCAAATATCGGAATACCGGATTAATTCACAACTTTCCGAATATTTTTTTATATTAACCACGGATTAATTAGTAACAATTGGTGAATCAGACGTAAATTATCCATTAAAAAAATATATGAAATAAATCAATAACCGAATTATTCCCGTTGGATTCCTCTGGGAATGATAATTGTGTCTCTAAAATAATCCACTGCAAATAACAAGTTGCCATGCACAAAATTTTTCCCTAAAAATGATGAATTCTCACCTGTCACAGCCTAATTAATCAACCGCGAAGCCCTGAGTGTCACAAAGAACACTAATGAATCCGCGATGAAGTCATTTAATTACGCGCTGCCACAAAAAATTCCGGAGATCTCCCAGACTGCGCCTCAAAAAAAACCGCGATATTAATTACAATTTAAAATCCCACCCCCCGCTGTCCTCATTAAAAATTCCTCGCCCTTATCATAAACAATTTCAATAAAAACATGAACAACGATTGCCATTCACTTCCCCATTCGCTGCCCCTATGTAATAATAAACCGTCAAGTGGTTACATGTACCGCATGATGAACATTAAAAGGGAGAAAGGTGTGCAAAAAAAAAGACGCGAATCGGAGGGAAAAAAATGGATAAAAAAGGAGAAAATGCAAATTGAAAAACAACTGGGAATGGAGACGGGATAGAAAGGGAAGCGGAAGGGAAAAAAAAGGGTAAATAGAGACGATCGATCGGTTCTCTATTGGTGACCCGCATTCGCGCTGTTGCGGAATTTCTCCTTTGTACACATGTACATTTCATTTTTGTCTCCAATTTCCACTCGAGAGGAAACTTTCAATTTTTATCCACCCCAGTAACACTTTTGTTTCATCTTACCCCGGGTTAGGGGAGGTTACGCGTTAGGTTCAGTTTTTGGATATCAACTCGAGTGTTAAATCATTTCTACAAGACTTCTCGAAGTATTCAACTCGTTATCCTAATAATCCTAATAATAATTAATCATTCAATAGTAATTATTATTAGAATATAATAAATATATACAATGACTTGAAAAACCGCGCATCGAATTCTTCGGTAGTCGCAATTAAATAATTCTCTGCCAGGTAAACAATAATGGCGGCACAATTAATCAACGATTAGTGAAAACTTCTCGGAAATAACCGAAAAATCGGCAGATTTGTGCCCCCTAAAATATACAGCAATCGAAAGTGACTGGATAAAAACGAAGTAAATTACCAGCTACATCGTAACGAACTTCAAAACGCCTGACCAAGTCTTTTTCCCGTGAAATGCCCCGTGAATTGACTTGTAAAGTTGAACACCAAAGCTCGTTCAAGTTTTATCGCGGTGGCCAGAATGTCCGAAGCTCAAGTACTTCTCACACACTGCAGTGCCTCATACCCTTTTTTTCTTCTTCATCTACTTCATACTTTTTTTTTTTCTCCCTCTCACTCAAGTTTTACGAGTCGTTGGGTCGTATTCTCGTCTCGTTGGCCTTAAAGTATACACGTACTCGTCCTCACACCTGCATCACGTTTTGTGTATTTTGCCGTGCCCCTTTTTTTCTCCAACGGTCGTAATTCCTCCCCTTTTTTTTTCGCTGGATTTTTTTTCTCACTCTTGGGAGGAGGAGGTGGTGGGGTAGAGGAGGAGGGGAGAGGTACCACCGGTTTCATTCGATTCGTAAAAATATATTGGCACGATTTTATTGCCACTCGAATGAATGGGCGTAAGCACTCAAAATGTCGATAAATATTCTGAGCTTTCTGGAGGTGAGGGGGTGGAAATGGTGAGAAAGAGGGTGGAAGGGGGAGGATGGGGGTGGATAGGGGAGGATGGGGGGGGATGGGGGAGGAGGGGTGTATGACAAGTGTGTGGGATAACAGATTGACGAGATTAGAGTTGCAAAGCCCCTGGACGACAACCTGCTGACGAGAGATTTGATTGTAGCAACTGGGACTCCGGATGGTGAATTGAGGAGTGAGAATGGCTTTCACGTGTGAGAATATCTCTGAGAGGATGAAAAGAGGTCAGTTATCGATTCGTCCGCATTTTCGTGGTGGGGTGAAATGTTTTTCTCGGGGTGGGGTTTTTTTTTTTTTGGACTGCTGACCTCGTACGGATTGCCCCCGAGACACTTTGCATGTTTTCTGGGCCAGTGGAAATTACTTCCGCCCATCAGTGGTCTTTCTTTGGCTCCCGGGTGGGGGAGGAAATCCGGGGAGGGGTGGCTTTTTTTTTGGGGGGGAGAATTGAGATGAAGAAAAGATGAAAATTGTTTAATTCTGAAGATTTTTTTCTTCAATTCAATTGACTTTTATTTTTTTTTTATGTCGTTCGGTCGAAAAATACGTGATTGTTCCGTATTTAAATGGATAAATTTATAGTTGATAAGGATGATAATAATATAGTGGTGATATTAATGATTAATGATTAATTTAAAATGTAATGTTTTTCCGTGATTATTTTCGTGAGGACTGGTAGCCCCGAAAAATGATGAATATTGTTGAGTTGACGGTTGCACTAGCAGAAGTACCCTGAGCATTACCCAAGTAAGAAACAAACTTTTAGAATGGGGTGGAAAGGGGTGGAAGAGGGTGGGGGGATGGTATTATCGTTCACTCGTGTGTCTAAACTCGACGGAAAATCCTCCGTCGAATGCGTTCGCCCTGCGGGTCGAAAAGTTTCGTCGTCAGTTCTCTGAGATAAAAGGAGAATTAAAAAAGAAAAAAAAAATAGGCGGAAAAAGTAAGTGAAGGGAAAGCACAACCGGTGCGGGGTACTGCGTCTCCGTGAAAAATGAGGGGTTGGGGGGGGTTTGGAAGAGAGTGAATAAGAAAAAGCTTGAAAAATAGGGAGAGACCGAAGTCTTGCGGGGCGTGTGGACTTTGTGAGAAGTATAAAAGGCACAAACCGCGTCTTGGCACGAGCTGAGAAAATCCAACGGGGGATTAGGAGGTGCTAGGTAACCGGTTTTCTTCACAATCCCCACAGCGCCAATCTACTGAGAGTTCACGCTTTCTACTTTCCTTCTTTTTTACACTCTTTTTTTTTCAACCCCTTCAGCTTCACCCCTTGATTCTACCCCCCAACTCACTTTTCTCGGCCCAAAGCCATTTCTCTCCCCCCCTTTTTGACTTTCTCGTATCATTATCCGGTTAATTGGTTTCTTTAGCAATATTCGGTTTTTGTGAAGGAAAAATCGGTAAATGGGGAGTCGGAATATCGCAATGGAAAGAGGAGAAAGGAAATTGATCTCAAAATATCTCGAAATATCTCAAAAAATCTCGAAAATCTCGAAATATCTCGAAATATCTCGAAATATCTCGAAATATCTCGAATGACCGTAAGTGCACAGTGCAAAATTTTGAAATTAAAAAAAATCCCGAGAATTTTGGAATCATTGGAGAAACAAAAAATGTACGAAAATCCACGGAGGAAAATATATCAGGAAAATGCCTGGACCGGTGCCGGAGAAATTGTCTGCGGAAAAATCAGATTATATAATGTTCTCAAATTTCGCTGAATTTTATAGAATTGCGTACACCATCATTTATTTATTCTCGCACCTCATTGTCCAGTTAATTGTTATCATCAGCAATATTCAGTGTTTATGGTGGGAAAGAATGTATAATTAAAGCTCAATTTATGCAACTTTGTCTTATGGGATTTTTTAGATGAGGAGTGAATGGCGATAGGGAGAGGATAATTACGCGAATCAGCTGGCTTTATTGGAAATAGCACGTTGGAAGGATAACGAGAATTCATTGTTGGATGGAATAAGAAGAGAGTACTTATGCACGGGAGAAAATTTGTAGTAAAATTTATATGAGCCCTGAAGAAATTTTTGCCATTACTTTTCCCTTTTAAAAAAATCATAGAAAAAAGATACAACGGTCTAAAGGTAATGCGTTTTATATTTTTTATGTGAACATGTCTCTCGCGTAATTAAAAAAATTAATCCCATCAACTTCGAAGGAATGCGGACAGAAAAATATTCCGTCAACTGCAAGAATTTCTCACGGGAGATCAGGCTATTGGAATTTTCCTCAGCTTTTCCACGGAAAATTCTATCGAAAATTGGGTCATATTCCAAAAATGGAAACCGATACCAAAATCCATAATCTGAAATTTCCCCGTTCATTATTCCCTCAAATCAATTCCACCCGCACCGAAAATTAAATTAAAAAAAATCCAACAATTTCCCAAGATCCAGGAAAAATGATATTTCATCCAGAAAATTCAGAAAATGGCTGACAGCCCTAACCAAGAAAAACTGTTAGTAAAAAAATGTGGACTAGCCGTAGGGGTCGAGTTAACGCAATATACGAGTCTTAATTACTCCCGTACGAAAGCCCTCCGAAGATTAATTAACGTTTTCCGCACAAATGTACTCCCCCACCCCCGTTTATTAGAAAACAAATCTCAACCCCCGAAGTGCCATATCTCTCAGTGGATAAAAATTATCCCAACGGATTACGTAACAAGGAATAAAACGTTAGCTGGATTCCAGTGGACAATAAATCAGACGTAAGCCGACACCATTGGGGCTGGTGTTGTAACCCGTGGTGCATTCACATTCGCTTCGGCCATTTGTATTGGAAAGGGGTTGGGAGGGGGCAGGTGCAATGTAAGAGAAAGATAGAGAATTGTGGTTCACTTGGATTGTATTGCACCTTTACCTTTGCGAATAGCCGCTGGACTCGGTGTAACTAGAACCAGAAGAACAACAACGAGATACGGCAACAACCATTTACCCCCTGCCAAAACCGCCATCTTTGATGTTCAAGTTGTCTGTTGATTTTTTTATCCAGTCACCTGGGACTGTCAATCGTTGGGTTGTGGATGTCTCATTTGGCTGATTGTACAACCTGAAAAATATATTTATCACTTTATCATGTAGCTTTTAAAAATTATTACAGTGGTTAAATTATTTATAAGAAAATATTGGGAGTGAAATTCCGGGAGAATTCAAGAGATCTTTCGGAATGCTCTGTGGATTTATTTGATAATAACAAATTTTCTAATAAAAGGAAAAATGAAAAAACAGAAGTGGAAATTTCTTTTAAAGGATTAAAATCACTCGTTCAAGTTTTGAATTGCGGTGAATTACCGCGCCGTCTGCGTAATTATCTGGGTAAGAATATCCCCGCCAATTTCAGTCCCTTTATTTTCACTAATTGTTCCAGAAAAACCCATAAAATTCACACCATAAACCGGATCATAAAGGTACATACAAACACCCAGACGATATCCCATTCACTGACATTCACTTTACGCCAAGTACTTGTTTGAATTTATTCAATAGCAGGGAGTGGAGGAAAATGGAACACTCGTGATAGACTTTAATTCTCTACTTCTCCCTTCACGAATAGAAATTTCGCACCAAGAGACTTTATAGTTTAAACAATTCACACAAAAAACAAAAAAAAAACAATCTGTTCCACTCGAATTCAACTGCACAGGATCGATTACTTCATTCAATTAGAAAATTTAATTAATTTTCTTATTTTATGTTAATAGATCATTTATTTTTATTGCGTGGATATTTAAACAAATTATCTAATGCGCAAATGCGCGATTGCAGTTATACAATGAATAATACGAAATTTTAAATCGACGGGCACAAATTTTCATCATTCGATAAACGTCAGCGAGATTAAAAGCCCTTTCCCCAATTAATCAATACCCAGTTTAATTAAAAATCCTACAAACGAACTTCAAACGAAATGTTGCATTTAATCCCATAAAGGGAATTCTCTCAGTGTAAAATTGAATGAGTATGTGGCGTCGAGTATTTTTCAGACTATCGAGATTCCTGAATTGAAGCATGAAGAACTGCCCCATTGAAATTTCAAATTGTTATCGAAAAATTAAACACCGACATTAATTGCTCCTCCAACTATTAATGGAAAAATAAATTCCATTCACTCAACAAATTCAAAATTTTCCGTTTACTTTTCCGAGAAAGAGACTTTTCCACTTTAATTTTAACGTGGAAGTTGTCCATCAGTTTTAAATTTCTTTTTTTTTTTTTGAAGATAAATTCCAAACAACAGAGGACTGAAAATTATTTCCATAACAGGTAGTGTCAATAGTTTTTTTTCCCTCCATTCTCTTTGATCGTGTTCGTTACACTCAATTTTCTTTGTCTCCCATTTTTTTTTCGTTTCCCTCGTTTTTAACATTCTATTCACCATCTATTTTTGTATTCATGTGTTTGGGTATATTCTCATCGGTCTTTCCAACCCCAGTGGAATGGTCAGTTCTTCCGTGTTTTTCAAAACCATTCATCGCTCATCTCGGACTGTGGCAGTGCCAAAGGGAGTCATATCTCACCCTGAATAAATATAAAATTTCCATGAAGCACCGATGTCGCTTTTTTCTTCAATTCTCCTTTGATTTATTTTTACCTCTCTCACACCGCATTAGGGGAGAATTCCCCCTGCTCCGATCAGTCCATATCCCCACAACCATTGGGTTCATCATTTTTATTTTCTCCTCCCGATTGCGAAGAATTCATTACAGAACGTGATAGTCGTCATTTCACTCTATTACTACTTGAAATATTTTGTAGCGGTTAATTGGCGGTTTAATAATTCAGATTTTTAATTGTTTGACACTTGGAATTGTTTAACTGACAAAATTTAACTGACAACACTCCTCGCCTCGATAGGAATCAACAATTTTTTTGAAAAAGAGCGGTAGCGGTTGTACTGCTGATAGGAGCGGTCACTTTGTTGCTCGGCACCATTCGACTGCAGATTAAATTCCATCACCAGCGGTAATTATTCACCACATTATTCTATGAGAAGTATTGAAATCATACCGAGCGGTATTACCTAACCGCCCGTTGGACCGCTCAATGGATTTTATTTTATCGCTTTTATTATCCATTAATTCCACGGATTCTCAGGAGAATTTGTTGTCTGCACATGGAAAATAATGATTTCAGTACTCCAACAAGTCCTGATATTATTTCTTTACCCGCAAGTTCATTCATTTATTTATTCGATTTATTTTATTTTCACTGGGATTTCATGATTATGTGGCATGTTGTGGTCGGCATTCTTCCCGAGGAATAAGTGAACTAATTAATTTCGCCTGGGAGTCTTGACATTCTTGTGATATTTCCCGTGGGAAAATTGATCATCTAGAATACCAGACTGCCTTCACTAGTCTCGATTAATTATCAACATTCCTTATCATTTTTAGGTGATCATGAATAGAGTACTGGGGAAATTCCGTGGCTTTTGGGTTGTGCTGATGAATTTATTGCATGGAGATAAACAAAGAATTCTCGGAATGAATACTTATTCCATATCAGCAAATTATCAACATACTATAATTAATCATTAGTATTTAATTAATAATTTCTTCTACGAATTTTCCTTTCTCCATTGGCAATGAATTTCTGATAGTTTACTGACATAATAGTCGATTAAAATATCTCCAAAATCCCCAGACCTAGTAGCGTACCTTCAAAATTCATAGGCCATCAAAATTTCCACCTACTGTTCCCAATTTCCCTGAAATTAATCAATTCATCATCGATATTGAAAGGCACGAACAGCCCCTCGATATTTCAAGTTGATGGACACGGGTTTTCGATTAATTGAACCGACATTTCAATTAATTGAAGAATTCTACCGATTCCCGTTGAAATAATGTACGACAAACGAGGTGAATTCATTCACCAAATAATCATTAAAAAAAATATCCAGTCGTGGGATCAGCTACAATGAAAATATTTCCATAATGGTAGAATACCGCGTGAAACAATCAACTGTGAAATGAGATTGGCATGCTAATGCATCGATGAATTAATTATTTTTGGTGGACCAAGTGGTGTGGAAAAAGGGTCGGTTATAAATTCATTGTAAAATTCCCGCGACACAAAATACATGTGAATTGTACCGATATACCAGCGTTGATGCATTAAAATAGTTGAACGACCCTCGCTCTAACCGACAGTTCTAGTTAATTTTTAATAATTTCCATTGTGACTCACTGAATTAAATAATCCCATTTTTATTTTCCATCATTCCAACACCATTGAAGACGTCCAAAAAATCGTAAACCTATTCACTGTTCAAATATCACTTCAATGACTTCTCATTTCATTCAATTATTCCATGATTCATTAATTAAGTTGTCCACGAAAATTTCTACTAACACAATTCCATTTTTTATGTTTATTCAAGTGTTTGATTGAGCATTTGGTTGAATTGAATATAAATACTCCTCTCGGATTAATTGAAATCGGCTACACCGCAACGTCCGAGAAAATATTGATTCGTACCACTGAGTATGTGCCAAAAACATGTCAATGCTCACATACCACTTGCTATTGGTGAATCGGCGATTGGTGTCCTTGAACATTTGATAAGTAAATTGATAACAATACTAATAATAATAATAATAATAATAATAATAATAATAGCAATAATAATAATATAGGTAATTATTCTTGCAAATGGAATTTTTTTTAGATAATTCAATTCGAAAGAATTGAAATCATAATTAAGTTTAAAAATTTCAGTTCGAATTCATATTTTTCTAGTTGTCTATTTTTATTAATTTATGTGGATTTTAAAAGCGTTATTAAAAATATTGATGTCACACGAATGGAAATGATCACTTCATCGTCAGAGGAGTAGCAATTTGACTTGTCTTCCTGTTCCGTCCTTCAAACATTGTTAATGCTCCTGACTGATTAATCGCATAATTAACGAGCTTCTTGCCTGGATTAGTGACTAATCAAGAAGTCGATAATTTAAGCTAAAATTATGAGGAAACTAGGGCAAACACTCACGTCGTGATACTCCGCGATTACACGAAAGGGAAAAACTCGATAAAAATTACGAGAGACTTCTGTAATTTCCGAGTTCATGTCACATTCTGATGATTCAACAGAGAAACCAGATTTTTTATTCTCAAAAAAAAAACACCGGGTTCCGGAAATCATTTCTTCTGTTACCCGAAGAATATTTCGATTAAGCTCAATTATACATTATTCATCTCTACTATTATAATAAAACAATTATAATAATTACCCCAAACTTCCAAATTTAAATTTCCGAAGAATTTCACCAAAAAAAATGTCAAAAAAATTAATTTCGAGACAAATACCAAATAAACGATATGAATCGATGAATAAAATCTCGACTAATCAACCCAGTAATTAATAATGATTAATAAAAAGAACCAAAAAGACATCTTCAATACCCTCAAGCCGAACATTCACTCAAGTACATTCAAGTATCTTTTTATTTCCATCCACTCCCCAATATTTTCCTCCCAACCCCACAATCCTCGAAACCACAATTCACCCCCCGGGTATGAAAACCGTGAATTGAGTAAATGCCAATAGCCCGTGTCGCGCCATAAAGCTCATCATCATCACAGTAATCATTAAATTTATGTACCAATGGGATTCTCCAATCCAGCGCACCTGTTTGAACGCTCATTACTTGTTTACACGCTTGTGCCCCAACTGATGCACAGAGGTTTCTATTCACCTCTAAAATGAATAATGGAGAAATGGGAGATGATAAAAGTATGATGCGAGGGGAGAAGGAGGAGGAGGAGGGGGGAGGGGGGGCAAAGAGGAAGAGAGAGAGGAGGGGGGCACTTGAGAAACCAGGACGATCTGCCACGTCATGCAAGTGCTATTATATTCCCACTGGAGTCCATCCAGTCATACCGTACGCTGACGTCGTCTCTATCGTTTGCCATTTGTACCCCCTCATATCCTCCCTTCCTCACCCCCTCTTTACCCACACAACCACCCACTCACCCCCCGGCCCCTTTTGTTCCACTATCCGACTGTCAGACCCTATGACAATTCAACCTATGTCTCGACTCGCAGAACATGCAATTTTTTTTATTCTTCTCTTCGGGGGTGGAAAATTGTGGGGGGTTCTTCCCTTTTGCGGTTGGTGATGTGTTTGGACGGGAAATGAAACTGTTGAAGATCCTCGTACTGGAGACAAGCTCATAAATTGGATGAGTTTGAAATGACTCCGGTGGTGATTGAAATATTTTCAGGGGGCGCGAATTTTTTCGGGTGGTGTGGGGTGCGGGGGGTTTTTTGGAATGAGATGGGGATGAATTAATTGATGGAGGTTAATGAGGCAGGGGTGGCTCGAATGTTTGGGTGAATTTGGAAGTTCCTGGAATTTTTATTAAGTTGAATCTAAAGTTTTGAGGGGAATTCATTAGTTTATCTCTCAGAATTAATTTCTCGTATAAAACAAATTGATGAAATTGTGGAAAAAATTTCATGTGAATTTCTGTTGGGTGCTAGGTAGAAAAAATATTTAATCCGAAATGTGGAATCATGTGGAACCACTGAGTGAATACTTTATTATAAAAATTCCAGATGAAGAGTGATGGAAAAATGTTTAATTAACTTGCTTGCTGTTAATTTTCAATGGCCCCCGTCGGGTGGAACATTGTGATACAAGGGTGGTGAGGGGGGTAGCGTTGAAATTCCCATGACGGTATTGTTCAGTACTTTCGGGGTAATAAAACAGTACTATTCTCAGATAAATTTCCCTTCATGCAGGGGATAGAGCTGCACTCGGGGAACAAATTGCTGAAAGCTACCGGATTTATTCCCCTCGGTTCCAAATTGGTGGATGGAGAGGCATTTAGCTGGGTTTCACTCCAAATTGAAACGAGTGGAGTCGAATTATCGGTTGACATATCTCTGTGAATACTAGAATGGAAACGATACAAATCGCTCTGAAAAAAATACGCATTTTCGCCAATTAAATTCACTACAGCAATAATATTTTTTTTCTTTACAATTCACCAAAAAAAAAAAAAAAAAAATGCTTTCAAACCCAGAAATGTCCCATAAACCCAAAAAAGTTGTGAGTAAAATTAGAAATGGTTGGACTCCCCTGGGGAACTAGCAAAAATTCTCGACTAGATCTCGAAAAAAATATATTATGTGATATACTAGAGATATGTGTTCTTATATTTGACAGAGGATCCCACATTTTCCCGGTGGAGCAACATCCAGTCCTCTAGCTTTGAAGTCCCCCGTTTATGGAGATATTGCTGTCCACCACGTTGAGAGTTATAGTGAATATTCGTAATGAAAGGGGATAAAATAGTCTCCACTTTTCCCACAAGCGTATCCCAGACCTCCATGGAAATATTTTCACGGCAATGTAAAACATCGGAAACTTCATTAATGAGGGAATTCCAGACGCGACCAAATTTCTGACGCTTCTTATGGATTTTTAAACATAAAAATCCCAGTCATTAATTTTTTATTAAAACTTGAGAATTAATCCGCAGCGAAAAAATGAACAATGTATTAAAAAAAATGTCTAGGATTAATGATATAAATAATCTAGCTCCAAATGACTCATGATTTCCAGATCGTCATCAACAAGTCGACGATCAAATGATTCAAATAATTACCGCGAATTTCACGTCATATCGCGTCGAGATGCCGCCTTTAGACGAGTGTCTGACCAATTCACTTTGAATCACTTCAAACAATAAAAAAATGAGTAACAAATGATCACCTGGTCCTGACGGCAGTATCCTTGTCCTTGAACTTAAAGGGTCAGGGTGAATCCCCTGGTGCGCCAAAAATTCCAAAAGAAATCAATCGCCGTCGCTCCCACTGAGAAGAATAACACTCACGTCCATTATCATGAAACGAAAAAATAACTTCTCCAGATGACCTTGATTACCGCACGAATATTCGTGTTCAAGTACGCGTATGAGACTGACACCGATGTTCTTACAAGCTCGCATTGAGCACCAACTCTGACCGAGTGTACCTCACCATGTAGTTGGGTCGAATGTTGCGCAAGCTCTCTCGTATTTAGGTTTGCCTGTGGTAGTGGTTGATCCTGGGTGGGGGAATTCCAAGGGACAGATGTATCACGAAAAAGAATTGTGGGGAAAATAGGGGCGAAGTTTGATGGTGAGTAAATGTGAAATGAGGACTTTACAACACGGACTTTTCAAGCCCAGTGTTTGTTTATTAAATGTCTCTCAAACCTGCATCTGTGTTCAATCCCTCTCAGGATCTTGACTTTGCACTTTCGAGTATTGAGGATTCTACACCATTCGTCACTTTACCAAGTCCAAAAGACGGACTACTTTGATGGATGTTGGGATGAGACCGGAGTTTGTACTTTCTCAAAGTACAAACTTCGGGGGATGCAATTATATAATATTTCTTGTTCGGTGAACAAGTGTTTCGATTGCAAGCTCAATTATAATGACACGTGGGAGTGGAATTCATAGGAATTTGTGAAACTGAAAAAAAAATGAATGACCGGTGGCCGTAACTGGAACTGACACTCCAACAGAAGCTCGCGTAATCTTATTACGCACCTTTTGTAATTGAATAAAGAAAAGTGATCAACGGGTAAATCTGCAATTAGCAGATTACAATGCGACAAATGCCCAGGCGCCATTCTCTCATGCAAGTGTGTGAGTGAGGAAATTCAGGGATTCACACAGTCATGATCAAATGGATATTAGTGAACCGTGGTGACAACTCGGAACAATTCGGATAAATAAGGATTGAACTAAATATTGGGAAAAGCAGGTCAGTATCGTAATCATTGAAATTATCGTACTATCGATTTTCAAAAAAAAAAAAAAATTGATGCTCTCAAAAATTAATCACAATTAAATAAAAATCAAATCCACAGACTGAACAGCTGTAAAACCCCAGAAAATTATTGAAAATACATTTAATAATAACAAAATGAATGAATTCATTAATTTAAATATTTAATCATTAAAATGAGGGTCAAAATAACATTTAATTAAATTCAATGAATTAAAAATTTTATAAACAATAAGATCCAAAAATAATAATGAAAGATGAATGGATTGAAGAAATAAAAAAATGTAAATAAAAAAATGTAAATAAAAAGTATAAAGCGAGATAATCGAGACAGAATATTAAACAGCCACTGAAATTTCTCCCAAGTGACTAATGTAAAAAAGCATTGCTCTACCATTCCATTCGATTAATCTCATTCCATCTGTATCCCTCGGATAAATTTCTACCAGAGGGAAGTATATATTGAGCTCAATGAAGCCAAAACGGTGGTACTAGATAAGGGACATATAACTCTGGGTACATATGCTGTAAAATGTCACTCTCCAGCGGACACAAACTAATTTCCTGTATATAAACGGAAGAGGGTACCACCAAGTTGATTCTATCTGGTCTGACACACAACCAAAACAGTGAGAGTAAAATGACGAGGAAAGGAGTGAGAGAGAATGGCTGTTTGGTGTTTTGTTGAAGGCTATCCAACGTCCGGTTAGTCATGTATTGTTTTTACAGTTTTGGGTGTTTGAGAGTTTTAGCATCTGAGTCTGTATATAACTGTTGAATCCATTACATGCCCCCCTCAAACTCCCCCCTCACTATTAAATCGAGACAAGAAATATCAATAATAAAAATAATCATTCGATAGGTCAATAATTAATATTTACTATTATAATGAATTATTCATTTTTGCATAATTATCGTTTATTTTATTAATATTAATAACTGTATATATTGGAAATATCATTTATAAAAATTAATGAAACATTGTGGAAAAGGGATGAATGAATTATTAATCAAATAACGGGTTCTAGTTAATAATTGTTTAGAATGAAATTAATAAAAATATGAAAAGACGATTGTTTACGCGATGGATCGTTGATATAGAGTGGAAATTTTTAATTAATGATTGGCGATAAACAAAAAATATTCTCAAATATAGGATTCCTTCTCGTACTTACTTTATTCCAATATTGAACGACAATGGCGGGGCATTTCCTTTGAAAATGGAGAAGGAATCCAATAACTCTTCATTACACTCACTACTTTGAAGTACTGCAATTCTATTTGCAGGATGAGATGAAAAAAACACTTTGTTGTCCACCATTTTGTGATAGTTTCTTCCAGAGGATATTGTTCTCAAATGGATTACTGATGAGGTTCTTGGATTAAGGAATCCGAGGGGATAGGGGACCTTGCGAGAGTTTCCAATCTGATTATCGAAAGTTGAAGATGTTTAATATTCATTACGTGGAGTGGGGTTTTGTTGCGTGTCCTTTTCACATAAATCACTTTGTAATCTATAACCAGAGGATTACTGTCGAGTATCGGCGCAATTTCGATTAAATATCAAATTATACGTGGAGAATTCACTGTCAATAATCTGTGTATCTTATGAATGTGTTAATAATTCCTTATTATATCCCACTTTAATATAAATTTAACAATTTTCAAATAACGCGCTTAAGAAAATGGATTTTTATTAAAAAATAATGTAAAATATAAGAAACTCATGAGAATATCAAAGAATTTCCGAAATCCACACGTCGCCCTGAAATCCCGCTCTCCATCCTATTCTAAAAAGGATAAACATCGAGACTATCGATATCTCGAATCACTGTCACGCTTACCCCTCATTGGTTGAGTCGTCCGAGGCGGCTAATTTGAATTCAGAATCCATTTAATTTACAATTTTTCAGTCATGATCTTCATGATTAAGGTGTGCAACAGCCTGCGTTAATTTTAATCTGAAAAAAATTTTGAGAATTCTCAAAAAATGAAGTGACAATTGAAATAACATAGAAAGTAAGATGTGCAGAAGTAGAGATGCGCATCGTACAATCAGGAAAGCGTGAAAGTGGTAAAGATATATAGAAACACGAAGAGACGGTGAGAATGGAAATGGATATAGGAGAGAGTAGAATACACTCCGAGTCACCTTTTTCCTTGTTTTCCCCAGGAAAGTTGAATTCCCAACGCCACACACTCCATAGGTCTTAGACAAAGAGAAAACGCGTCCCAGAATACTTTGCGTTCTCCAGTTTACTTACAAAACCCTGTCTTGCACCGGGTATTTCGTACCATCTGTCCTCTCCTCTGTCTACGTGCTTCAGTCGCCTTTATCCATCTGTTCTGTCATACTCGTGTACTCCAATACTCATACGTGAGCTTTTTCAGCAAAATTCAGTGTGTACCAAGTTTTTAGATGTACACACGAAATATCATACTTTGTCTTCGGTCTTATCATCTCAAATGGCCAAGTCTCAACGTCAGACTTTGTCATTTCGTGGATTCAGTAATTCCTGAGACCTGAAAATTACAACTTCAAAGTACAACACCTATATCGAATTATTTACAACATATTCTCTCGATTCTCATCAATTTCTCGAAAACCAGTGTTCACACTTCAATAAACAATTATGCACGTAATGATTCCTGCACTGATATTTTCCATTAATTAACGAAATTAATAAAAAAAAAGAAATCACTCGACGGCTACATCATAATTGAACGCAACGGTCCGTTCGTTTCCTGATATTGAATAATTCTCGAGTCCTTGCATTCATTAAAACGTGAAGTTTGAGAATGGAATGAAACAATGGTTTATTCCAGGTGAAGAACAAAAATTCATTTCGTACTACGAATTTTTAGTTGTTATTACAAATATATTTTTATTCCTGAAGGTAATTCGCTGATGCGCGATGAAAGAGCAGTTTGTTTAATGTAGAGATATTTTGAGTGAGTGGAGATGCATTGAAGCTTTACAATGTTGACTCTCTCAGTGGAAGCATTTATCTCAAATAATGCAAGCGGAAAAAGCCAGAGGATGTGCAATCCAGCGATACAACCTGTGAGCTGAAACGATGAGTATCACTGATGTATCGATAGTTATTGACACAGTTCTGACAATTATTGACACACATCCGCAAATCACTCATGCTGATATTTTCTGAATACATCAGATCGTCATGTACAAACGGGAGTCGCATCAATCCGCCTTTTACGATTCTCTTTTTTATTATAATTATTTTCTAATTATAATATAATCATTCTCTCAAGATATTTTAAAATGCTATACCCTAATCCGCAGTTGTAGATCGAATGTTTGAATTGTGATGAGCCATGGAGAAAAAAATAGGAGAAGATTCTCGAGAGGAGAAAAATAAAATAATATTGACGTTGTGAATTGTTGGCGAGATGAAAATTTCTTTGTACGAGCCTCAGGTGATATTCGTTGATACTTTGATGTTCCATTTCGATATGCCAGATGATGAATTCAGGAGTGAATTAATTTCAAAGTCATCCCACTCCCTACATGAATTTCACCCGAGAGATTATCTTTCAGTGAGACTCGCTGTTATTTCCGGATTCAATCTCTCAGGATGTCTGAGCGACTCAAGGCCATAAAGGAATAGTTTGGGTGGAAAAAATTTCAACGGTCAGATCCTCATGCACAAGAGCACGGAGAAATTAACGAGATGAATTTTACTTCAATTCCATATCCAGAATCACTGAGGGAAATACGCACATATCACTGAGTTCGTTGGTACACGGAGAGAAATATTTAGTAAAAATTACGGAACTTTCACTTCACTTACCGATTACGGAGTTGATTCGACAAATTTAAGTGACGGTATTGTTATTTTTCACCGACAATTCAGATAAAAATTACGGAACACCGCGGAAAAATTCCGTGACTTTAGATAAAAATTACGTGACAGTTCCGTAAAATTTCCGACAACCACATTTCGCTCCAGAATTACGGAAAATACACGTAATTTTTATTGAATATTTCTCTCAGTGTACATACACTCCCGAGATATCGCTATAGATGATCTGGGAACTGCTGTTTTCCACTTGTCTATTTTTCCAACCCCTCGAACGTTTTTACCTCACCTTTTTACAACCACCCACATTTCCTCCCTCTGCATGTCCACAGCAACGTACGAAACTTAT